TTGAAAAGGTGGAGGAGGGGACTGTTTGAAAAGGTGGAGGAGGGGACTGTTTGAAAAGGTGGAGGAGGACTGTTTGAAAAGGTGGAGGAGGGGACTGTTTGAAAAGGTGGAGGAGGGGACTGTTTGAAAAGGTGGAGGAGGGGACTGTTTGAAAAGGTGGAGAGGGGACTGTTTGAAAAGGTGGAGGAGGGGACTGTTTGAAAAGGTGGAGGAGGGGACTGTTTGAAAAGGTGGAAGAGGGACTGTTTGAAAAGGTGGAGGAGGAGGACTGTTTGAAAAGGTGGAGGAGGGGACTGTTTGAAAAGGTGGAGGAGGGGACTGTTTGAAAAGGTGGAAGAGGGGACTGTTTGAAAAGGTGGAGGAGGAGGACTGTTTGAAAAGGTGGAGGAGGGGACTGTTTGAAAAGGTGGAGGAGGGGACTGTTTGAAAAGGTGGAAGAGGGGACTGTTTGAAAAGGTGGAGGAGGGGACTGTTTGAAAAGGTGGAGGAGGGGACTGTTTGAAAAGGTGGAAGAGGGGACTGTTTGAAAAGGTGGAGGAGGGGACTGTTTGAAAAGGTGGAGGAGGGGACTGTTTGAAAAGGTGGAAGAGGGGACTGTTTGAAAAGGTGGAGGAGGGGACTGTTTGAAAAGGTGGAGGAGGGGACTGTTTGAAAAGGTGGAGGAGGAGGACTGTTTGAAAAGGTGGAGGAGGACTGTTTGAAAAGGTGGAGGAGGGGACTGTTTGAAAAGGTGGAGGAGGACTGTTTGAAAAGGTGGAGGAGGACTGTTTGAAAAGGTGGAGGAGGACTGTTTGAAAAGGTGGAGGAGGGGACTGTTTGAAAAGGTGGAGGAGGACTGTTTGAAAAGGTGGAGGAGGACTGTTTGAAAAGGTGGAGGAGGGGACTGTTTGAAAAGGTGGAGGAGGACTGTTTGAAAAGGTGGAGGAGGACTGTTTGAAAAGGTGGAGGAGGACTGTTTGAAAAGGTGGAGGAGGGGACTGTTTGAAAAGGTGGAGGAGGGACTGTTTGAAAAGGTGGAGGAGGACTGTTTGAAAAGGTGGAGGAGGGGACTGTTTGAAAAGGTGGAGGAGGGCTGTTTGAAAAGGTGGAGGAGGAGGACTGTTTGAAAAGGTGGAGGAGGAGGACTGTTTGAAAAGGTGGAGGAGGACTGTTTGAAAAGGTGGAGGAGGGGACTGTTTGAAAAGGTGGAGGAGGACTGTTTGAAAAGGTGGAGGAGGACTGTTTGAAAAGGTGGAGGAGGACTGTTTGAAAAGGTGGAGGAGGGGACTGTTTGAAAAGGTGGAGGAGGGGACTGTTTGAAAAGGTGGAGGAGGACTGTTTGAAAAGGTGGAGGAGGGGACTGTTTGAAAAGGTGGAGGAGGGCTGTTTGAAAAGGTGGAGGAGGACTGTTTGAAAAGGTGGAGGAGGGACTGTTTGAAAAGGTGGAGGAGGGGACTGTTTGAAAAGGTGGAGGAGGACTGTTTGAAAAGGTGGAGGAGGACTGTTTGAAAAGGTGGAGGAGGACTGTTTGAAAAGGTGGAGGAGGACTGTTTGAAAAGGTGGAGGAGGGGACTGTTTGAAAAGGTGGAGGAGGGGACTGTTTGAAAAGGTGGAGGAGGACTGTTTGAAAAGGTGGAGGAGGAGGACTGTTTGAAAAGGTGGAGGAGGAGGACTGTTTGAAAAGGTGGAGGAGGACTGTTTGAAAAGGTGGAGGAGGACTGTTTGAAAAGGTGGAGGAGGAGGACTGTTTGAAAAGGTGGAGGAGGAGGACTGTTTGAAAAGGTGGAGGAGGACTGTTTGAAAAGGTGGAGGAGGGCTGTTTGAAAAGGTGGAGGAGGGGACTGTTTGAAAAGGTGGAGGAGGACTGTTTGAAAAGGTGGAGGAGGAGGACTGTTTGAAAAGGTGGAGGAGGAGGACTGTTTGAAAAGGTGGAGGAGGAGGACTGTTTGAAAAGGTGGAGGAGGACTGTTTGAAAAGGTGGAGGAGGACTGTTTGAAAAGGTGGAGGAGGGGACTGTTTGAAAAGGTGGAGGAGGGGACTGTTTGAAAAGGTGGAGGAGGGGACTGTTTGAAAAGGTGGAGGAGGACTGTTTGAAAAGGTGGAGGAGGACTGTTTGAAAAGGTGGAGGAGGAGGACTGTTTGAAAAGGTGGAGGAGGGGACTGTTTGAAAAGGTGGAGGAGGACTGTTTGAAAAGGTGGAGGAGGGGGACTGTTTGAAAAGGTGGAGGAGGGGACTGTTTGAAAAGGTGGAGGAGAGGGAGAATATGTCCTCTTTAAACTACAGGTACTGGACTCATTCCTCTCCTGCACACCTGTCTGATGAAATGTGAGATCTTGGATCAGGATCAACCTGAAAGTATCTCAGTGCAGATCATGGTGGACACAGAGCGTGCTCAGGTGAGACGAGTGGGAGAAGCCGGACGTCACACTGAGACGTTTCAGCGTCTTCACCGAGGTGTGAGGAGACAGCCGGCTTCTGCAGCCGCCCACCGCCAGGCCTGGCGCCGCCTGAGTCCACCTACACACACACACACACACACACACACACACACACACACACACACACACACACACACACACACACACACACACACACACACACACACACACTATTTTGCCAATTCTTTCCAGTTTAGTAGACTCAGGGATGAATGAATTTTAAAACCGGAATCTGGACGTCAGGTCAGAGGGTGGCAGCTTGAACGCCGTATTCAGAACATGTGACGGGTCATTGACGATCTTGTCAGGTGTTTCTGACAAACTGTGTAAGGTGTTGTTGTTTAATTGTTTAACTCCATAAACGTCACGTTTCTGTCTGTATAAAGCCACAGAGCTGATGTGATGATTGACAGTATGATGTGGGCGGGACTTAACATTCTGTTGGGCGTTAACGGGCTGCAGGTCTGACGGAGAGTGTGTACCTACAGGGAGCCAGACCAACTCTCACAGGGCTGTCAGGTAATCCCAGTGTGTGTGTGTGTGTGTGTGTGTGTGTGTGTGTGTGTGTGTGTGTGTGTGTGTGTGTGTGTGTGTGTTCTCTCCTGGTTCTCCGTCTTCCTCCCACAGTCCAAAGACATGCTCGTTAGGTTAACTGCTGACTCTAAATTGTCTGTAGGTGTGAATGTGAGTGTGTCTGGTTGTCTGTCTCTATATATCAGCTCTGTGATTGGCTGGTGATCAGTCCAGGCTGTAACCCCGCCTCTCGACCAATGACAGCTGGGATCACCTCCAGCCCCCCAGCAAAAGCGGTGCAGATAATGAACCCGAGTCTGTCAATCTCACGGCCCATCTTACCCTCACTCGTGAACAAGACTCCCGAGATTCAGGACTCTTCACTTCCTGAAGCAACAAATCAACCGTCAGTCTGCAAACTGACCACTAGGGGGCAGAGCTGTGTCTGCATGTCTCCCATTAAAATAAGACCGTCTGAAAGTGTGTGAAGTTTTCTTACACTAAACTTTGTTCAAGTATAAATACCTCAGATTGTGTGCGGGGGGGGGGGGGGGGTTGAGTTATTTTTGAATTTCTGGAGAATTAAATCTGAAGAGCGAAGCTGAAAACAGTAATGCCTGCATGCTTAAGTGTTATTCAGTGTGTGTGTGTGTGTGTGTGTTAGAGAGGGGAGGGGGGGTGTGACCCTGCCTCACACTGTGCACAGTGTTTCTGCAGAGCGCTGCTGTGAGGCCTCTCTGTCGCTGATGTTTACTCAGACTTATTTTGGGAAAATTCCTCCTCGCTGACCATAAATCACTGAATCTGCAGCTCAGTGGATGATAGCTGCTGTCACTCTCACACACACGCACACACACACACACACACGCAGAGTTGTTTGTGTTGTCACTAAGTGGATTTACTCAGAAATGAAATCGTTCAGCCTTTAATTGAAGGTGAAACGAGTCACGTTTGAACCATAAACATCTAATGATGTTGTTTTGTTGCGTTCTGTTTTTAGAGTTTAGTTTTTAATTAATCCTCTTTATCTAGTGAATGCTTATTCACCTGATTGCTCCTTTAATTAATCCTTCTTCTAATTTACTGTAGGTGTTTGCTGCCTTTCTGCATGTTTCTAATAAGCTCCACGAGCAGAAACGTGCTCAAACTAGGATCAATATTGGAGATGCTTTTGAAAAATGGCGTCTGGATCTTATTATCTCGATATTACGATGCTGAATTTATTAGAGATAACGAGTTAATTTCACGAGAAATTCAGAAAAAAAGCAGCAACCTCTGGTGTTGAAACATGAAGCCGATGCTGAAGTGTAACATCCTGCAGTTCCTGGAGTGTCCACTAGAGGCTGGCTGCAGAAGCACAGGAAGTCACATACACACCCATTGTAAAAAGCCTGTTTTTACAGCAGAGATGAACATGTTTACAGCCTGGTTCAAAAAACCAAATAGGTGTGATTAGCTCATGTCTGGATGGACACACACTGTACGGGGGGTGAATGTTTTGATGACTCATCAGTTTTGATTTGATGAAGGATAAGAGTTATTCACAATAAGGCGTGTAGCTGACCTGATTGACAGGTGGGCGCGGTCTAACGGTTTGTCAGGAGGTTTAAAGTAGGGATGAATGTCCTCTGCAGGTTTTCTGTAGTAAAACATCAACCTTGGGTACGTTTATCACGATTATTATTATTCTTCGCCAATATGCATGATGTTTTTTTTACCCGTTAACCATCCCAAGACCTACAAAACAGTCCATTAACATCGTGGTGAAATATCAACAGGAAGTCCACCACCATTTCTTTAAATTTCACAATAAAGCGTCATTTTTCACCGTTTTCAGGGTACCTATTTGAACACACTTGTCCTAAGGCGTTCATCAGATCACTGAATTTGTTTAGATATTTGTTCTAGACAAGTCTAAGATTCAAAGTTGTGCTAAATATGAATAATTATCAGAATGAATAAGGAGGAAATCATAAAAACAAACATTATAAAACATGATGAGCTGGTGTAAGTGTGACAGCGCCCTCTGCAGGCGAGGCTCTGAACAGCATCACAACATGAACACGGTGATTGATTAGATATTTATTCTGGTTTTTATTTCAGATATTTTGAAAATGTCAGAGAGGCACACAGGCTACACGATCTGAAGCTAGTCGGCCAAACATGAGCACCAGATATTTATCACAGAGAAAAAAAAAAACATATTTACAAATATAAATTAACAAATATTTCACCTCCAAAAGACACCGAGACAGACGAGGATTACATGTTATAAAAGCTGTGACGAGATGAAGCCGTGTGTAGTGCAGATCGTTCACATTCATCAAACTTTGGTCCAAAGAGAAACATTTCAGTCGCTTGATGAGTAGTTCTTGTTTTTTTAGAAAACATGGCGTCCCGCAGAACGCCGCAGATTCAGTTTGGAAAAAAAAGGTCCAAAAGAAAGAACAAAAATGAACGACTCAAACTTAGTGTCACGGACGGCTGAACGGAGGCAGTGAGCTCGAAAGTCTCTGAGAAGAACCTGAGGCACTGGAGAGGCGGCGTCGAACATCCGTCAGTTTAGACCCCGTTTACGCCTTTTAATACGACCCCGAACACGCCGGATATCCTGATGTCAGAGGGCGGGCGGGTTGACCATCGACGAACAAAACTGAAGTTAAGGGAATTTGGTGACGAACGTAGACCGTCTGCACGTGGCGTGCACATAACGTAGACCGCCTGCACGTGACCATAGACTTGCCTCAGGAGATCCCCGCCCCCGCTGGGTCAGGAGAATTTCGGGCGCCAGGAGTGCAAATATGAAAAAGTCTGAATACAGACCGCATTTTGAAATCAGGCGTAAACGGGCTCTAAACATCAGGGTTCCTACGTGGTTTTGACTTCCGATCCCTCTGCTGCGTCTCTGATTGGCTGAAACCTCAGGAACGCCATTTGTCTGTTTGGACTCTAAAAAAAAGTTCCAGAACATTTGGAGCGTGTTTCTGTGGCGAGCTGGAAGTGAGCGCTGTAGGAACCCTGAGAGAGAGTTTGTTTCTGATTGTTCGTCTCCAACGGCGTTCAGTGATTCCTGGAGTTAAAGAATCCGACACTGGTCGGGCGACTCCTTCACCGTCACTGTGATGAAGTTGGCGGTGACGTCCGTGACGAACACTTGCTCCAGGAGGCTGTGGGCCGGCCGCCAGTCCGTCTCTGTGTCCGACTCCGTGGCGTCGTCGCCGAAGCTCGGCCGGCTGTTGTTTGGGAACAGATCGGCGCCGTGCTCTGATTCGCTGCTGCTGGTCTCATCAGAGTCCCCGGTGCTGAGCTCGTTCAGGC